TGAGGGGAGAAAATAATATACTTTCGTATATAGCGTATATCAAACTGATATAGATAACTTTGTTCTCATAAGCAATTGTTTAGCTATTAAGTAGAGACACTTAATAAATTATTTTGCTAAACGAACGGTGATGTAAACCAACTTATCAAGATGAACTTCTTGAATAGAAAATCTGGAAATTATGCTCGAAATTAAATTATTGAGCAAGTTACCTCGCAAACACCATGTTGCGGGTTATTAATAATCGCACATGTAACCATCTTATAGATGCATCTTATATGGTATACATGGCAGGTGAATGGGCCCATATTCACCTTTGATACTTCCAGCATTCATGGGATTCAATCCCAATTTTAATTGGTCTATTAATTAATGAGAACAAGCAATGTAAGAGAATTCGTAAAGAACTTTCTAGTTCTTTAATATTTACCCATGTGAATTCTCTTTTATTTTTGCATATCATACTTGAATTAACACGGCTAATCCAATTATGCCAACTGGATAAATTATCAATATTGATAAACTTCAGGTTACACCATGATGTGTGCAATTATGAATAAACTCCAAGTTTATTATGATATGGGTTTTTATATCAATAAATATCCACTTCATTGTGGTATTCTTTTGTTTATGTAGTACAAATTGGAGAATAAAGCGGGTAGCTTTTCACATACATCATACCCCGCTACAAGTTGTAGTAATAGAAGATATTAAATCTTTCCTTTATATATAGTCTCAATATAATCAACCGCTTTCGCGTATACTTTGAAAACTGAATAAGTTTCTTTGAGACTTACTACAACACAATACCTTATTGGTAATTAATTGTGTTTCTCCAAAATAGTATAATTGGCTCTTGCAGAGTTCTCAATTAATTTTGTAGTACCACATATTCATCAACACCCATATGGTGAATATCTCTTTTAAAGAGAAAGTTATACCATTATAGTCATGGTCAAAATTATATGCAAGATCTGTTTCTTGCATTACTGTTATTCTTTAACAATCACAATGCCAAAATATTTTGGCGTACAATAGGTACGTGACCAATGACCATTCATGCCATAATAATGACATTATTTTCTTATATCATCTCAAACCTCCTTTTAGAGGTGAGTATGGTATATTCACTACCACTAGCACATTCATATTCTTCCAAGAATAAATATGTATTCATAAATCAGATGTTTTCACATTCACATCATGAATGGACCATAATCATCTATATGTGCTTTATAAAATATCATGTCAAATGGATGACAAATATTACTTTCACAGAGTGAAGGATTATTTTGAGAATCCTTATTATTCTCATTATCACAATGCTGACGATTATAATTTCGTCTAATACCACGTCCACATCCATTGATACCTTCACGGTTCACATACTGCTATCACATTCTCTTAAGGGAATGAGAATGGAGCAAATTCAATAGGACGGGTTTTCAATTCTTTGCCCACAATCATACATGAATTTGATCATGGCAAGGCATAGAAATTTTACCACTTCAGGTGGTTATAATTTCTTACAAACTCCATTAGAGTTATAATCAAACTTTGTTGTCTTTGCTTGTATTTAAAATCGAAGTATAGAATAAAAGAGAAAAAATACGGTAAAATACTTACCTTAAATCCAGAATTTAATCATGAAGGAAGTTCATGGAATAATTGACAATCATTATGCTCAATCCCAAATCTTCTACTCAATTGGTTAGAGTCTCGTGCTGATAACGTGTTATAAAACAATAAATGAAGAAGAAGAGAATTGCAGAGAAAAGTAGAGGGAGAGAATTCTTATTGATTTGGGATGAATTACAATGGAATAGAACCCTCTATTTATAGGGAAATGGTGACTTAGCCACCAAGCAATGAACCCTAGAATCTCTCTAAATATAGACATTCACCATAAATAAAATTCTATTTATAACATGTATGGGTTTTTTTCCTCCAAAATATCTATTACCGAGGTCAAGAAATTAATAGTGGCACAAAAATATCATATTTCTATTGTTCTTGCTTGGACTCCAAAGATAAGCCTCCTCAATAACATAATCAGCCGGGAAAAAAAGCTTATTCACATTCAAAGCATACATCAAACAATGTTAATTTAGTATAAGTGATCATAGATTAACTTAGCTTAACATACGTATATATTAACTAAACTATTGTTCAAGCGAAAGACACATGTCATGCACTAATTACACTATACAGGTACGAGCAAGTATTCTCTCAATCAATATAATTTTCTCTAGTAGTATTATGTTAGCAACTCAAGCATTAAGTAAAGGGCTGAACAATCCTTTTGGCGTTACAATTTGTTTTTAAAAACACCATGACCATAGCTCTTACCAAGACTAGTGAGTTCAATGGAAGAAACCAATATAGTACTCCTATACTAACTTTTTATTTTTATTTTAAAGAAAGATAGCGACTAGTTTAGACAGGGGCGGATTTATAGGCTTAATTATGGGGCACGTGAACCCATGGTCTCTCCGTAAAAGTAGATATTTTATGTACATATTTTCTTAAATTAGTATAATATTAACTGTTGACACCCATGTTAGATTAAATTAGATTAATTGAATGGTGTACTTGGTTGAATGTTGAGTTATTGTCCAAGAGGCATAGGGATCAAACCCCATTAGATACACTTTTTTCTCTATTTTTTTAGTAGTGCACGCATGTACTAGAAATCCTAGATTCGCCTCTGAGTTTAGAGTGGAGAAAACGAAGGTACGTGCTCTTGCACCCTTTGGAATATATATATATACACACACACACTTCAGCTCAGTGTCTGATCTTTTAATTGGTGCTATAAAATGGTTTTTAAATTCCAACAATAAAATACGTAATTTCATCAAAGCATATTAATTTGTTACCTTGGCCAATCTGATGATGAGTTTCAGGAACTTCAACAGTTAAAGTCAGATGATCATCGGAATAGATTCTATTGGAGTGGATTCTATTGGAGTTGGAGAGACTGGAACTTATCACGATTTCGTTCTTTTGTTCGTCTTCTCCCATTTCGTTGTTGTAAGCACTGCAACGACACTACTAATGAAACAATATTAGTATTTGCTGTTTGAAAGCTAAGAGACTGAGCTAATGCATTTAATTATATATAGTCGCAATGGTTAGATTTTCCATTAAGTTTACGTACGGCCCATTTTATTTATATGTATTAAATTAATAACATTTGGTACAATATTTAATAAGCTTTCCTAGATAAGGTCGGACTCTTAGATTCTAACCAACTATGGGGTTACAGGATGGCTGCTTATTTAAGCACGTGCCTCTGATTACCAACAGAGTCTTGAAAACTAGTATACCACAAAAGTTTCTCTATTTGTTGTGTTTCAGGATTATCTTCCTCACTTGATTGGTAATCCCATATGTATTTTGGTATTTAAAATTTAATTGTTGATGTCATAGCGGCCCTCCATGCCATTTTGATTGGTGCATATTATGCATGGAAATCATAAACTATTTATTGCATAACTAAAGATTAATTTTGCAATCCTGATAGAGTTCAGTGTCGCTGTCACTACTGAAGCCATATGTTACGATATAAAAAGTACTGAGTATTTAACCTAAAATTTATTTATATTAATAGGCTAAGCAATTGAATTTATATTCTATCCAGGACACAAATAATTATATTAACCCAACGTTATTGAACTTTTGATAATAGAGGACCAGAAAATTGTGGTAATACAGTAAGGAAAATAGCATAAGTATTACAGAAGAGAAAGAGATTCTTACTGGTTGGAGCTAATCGATAATGGAGATGTATGGGTCAAAAATCACCTCTGACATGATCAAAGCATGTTAACATTGAGGAGGCACTCGCGGACGGCCACGTATCGCCAGTACGACTTTGATAAAGACATGCCCGAGGTCGAAGTGATTCCTTAAGAGGTGGACGGTGCGGTCGAAGTGTCAGTGAAGACCAAGGTCGAGAAGTCATCGTAGATCAATGTCGAGGTCGAGCATCTTAGTCAGAGTTATAACAGCTAGTTTTAGAAAAAGACACAAAGGAGAATATTCTAGTAGATATTGTCTGTACCTATACTATTAGGATTTTTAGGTATGTGTTCCCTATAAATATATAGAAAGAGACACAATGATAGGGGATATAAGATATTCACTTGTAAGAAAACACATTGACTGGATAGAGAGAATATGGCTTTATTTCACACGAGAAATACCTTTTCACTAAGATTCTTGCATAACTTTTCCTGTGGATCCAAGAACTACTTGAACATTCGAAGGCTCGTCAATCATTCATCATTGTCAGAAAGAATATCCACAAATCTCACCCCTTTTTCGAGTGAGTTGTACATTCTTATTTACATAAATGTCATTCATTGCTATTTATTATTATTTAATGTTATCTTCCACCTTTGGGGTCGTTGAATATCGTTAGTGTTATCCATATTTATTGCCATTCGGTCAAACATACATATTATCTATTACAAAATCACTTATTTTGTCTGTTGGATATTAATATTAGCTAAGATTTGACTCTATTTTATTGAAATCTAATTGGTTGACCGGATCCAAATTTTGGGTCAAACAGGAGATACTATGGAAGAGAGCACAATAATCCTGTTATAAATTCAGTATAGTAGCGTGTATGAAGGTGTATCAAAATTGTTGAGAGCATAGCAAGTTGTTGTGTATTAGTTAGTTAATTAGTTAATGAGTTGATTATTTATGTTAAAAGTAGGCTTAGTTAGTTAGTTGAGATATGTATATATATGAGGTATACCTCATTACTGTAGTATGCAGAAGAAATGAGAATCAGTTAGATTTCTCTCCAAGTTTTCCTATGTTCTTTTTCTCTCGATTACTTCATCATTCTTCACTCTCATCCATTGATAAACTTGACATTGTATCAGAGCCTACTGCTCGAACCTAAATCGCTCAGTTGTGTACCTAATTAGTTCGAGTCCAATCGCTAGCTCTCAAAGTTCTGCACCTACAGGTGAAGCTCAACAATGGCGAAAATTGACAATGAGGTTCCTGAGAAGCTAAGTCACAATCATCCTCTATTTCTTAATTCAAATGATAATTCTGGAGCAATTCTGATCTCACTACAACTTCGAGGTCCGGAGAATTACTCGGTGTGGAGTCGAGCAATGAGAATTGCCATCCTAGGGCGAAATAAGCTAGGATTTATAGACGGCACTTGTAAGCAAGGAGTCCAAATCTAGTAGATCTATGGGAGAGAAGTAACGCCACAATGCTATCATGGATAATGAACTGTGTATCGCCCGAATTGCTCAGTGAAATTGTTTACTCCTCAAATGCAATGCTGTGTGGAATGACCTAAAAGAGAGGCTCAACAAGGTTGATCTCTCTAGAATTTTTCAGATTCATAAGAACATTGCTACAATTAATCAAGGTACTAGCTCAATCTCTTCCTATTTCTCAAAATTTTGACTGCTTTGGGCTGAGTTTGATAGTATAGCTCCAGTCTCTGGGTGTGACTGTGAGAAATCGCGTGAATTTGTTGTGTTCATGGAAAGGTTGAAGCTTCTGCAGTTCCTTATGGGACTAAATGAGTTTTATGAGCAAGCTAGAAGTCAGCTACTCATAATGATACTAGCTCCCTCTATTAACAAGGTTTACTCTATGATTATGGAAAGGGAAAGCTAGAGGGCAATTGCACATACGGGAGTACCTGTAGAGAATCCTGATAATAATGCTCTTAGGTCTACTAGAGGTGGATTCCATCAGAAATCTAAGAAAAACTTTAATCACATCTGTGATTACTGCAACTACAAAGGGCATACTAAAGAGAACTGCCTTAAATTGAATGGTTACCCTGCTGATTTCAAGCACAAAAAGAAGGGAAGTTCATTTCCTACAGCTAATTTTGCAGGAAATAATAGTGGTTCTGGAACTAACTTTGCAGGAAATAATAGTTCTGGATCTCTGATGCATACTATTGGCAGTCAGGATCTATTTTCAATAGCTAATTTTGCAGGTAACAACAGTGGAGGAAACCAGGGTGAAAGTAGCCAAACTCAGCTGGCAGCACCACCTCTTTCAGCACCATACTTTACTCCAGAACAGTATCAACTAATTTTGGAGATGCTTGGTAAAGTGAATGAAGAAACAACAGGCTCTGCTCAACCAGTAACAGCAGGTATCTTTTCATTCCTATCTATTATAATTGATGATAGGTGGATAATTGATACTAGAGCTACTAATCTGTCACGACCCGGATTTACCCACCCTCGGGGGGTCGTGATGGCGCCTACTCGTAGAAGCTAGGCAAGCCACAAATTATAAATCCTACCTATTTCATTTTAAATCCTTTTATCAATCATAACAACAAGCGTTAAATATTTAAATGACAGCGGAATATGAAATTAAAGCGGAAGACTTAAATTAAATAAGCTGAACAATAATGCGGAATTCAACATATGCCTCTACCCAAGAACTGGTGTCACATCATCCACGGACTACTAAGAGTACTAAATACAATCGTTTGAAAGAAATATAACACTGTTTGTCTCGAAAACATGAGATAACAGAATAAAATATAAGATAGAGGAGACGCCGGGCCTCCGGACGCGTGCAAGGCTACCTCGGAGTCTCGATGGACTGAAGGCTGGCTCCCGAGCTACTGCTGCTGTCCGGGACCTGGATCTGTGCAAAAGAGCACAGAGTGTAGTATCAGCACAACCGACCCCATGTGCTGGTAAGTGCCTAGCCTAACCTCGGTGAAGTAGTGACGAGGCTAGACAGGACTACCACATAATATATATATATATATATATATATATATATATATATATATATATATATATATATATATATATATATCTACAACGGGAAAATAACAAGAACAAACATTTTAAATGGGAGGGGAACATGCTGCGGGGATAGCAGATAATACAGGATTTCAAGAAAATAATAAAGAACATCAATAATTTAACTCTAACACGGATAAGGGAAATAAAAGCAGATTTCACTGTCAGTACATATCTCGTTGCAGGCGTGCAACCCGATCCCATTTCTCAATAATTAAATCTCGTGGTAGGCGTACCACCCGCTCCCATTTCATTAATCTCGTGGTAGGCGTACCACCCGCTCCCATTTTATTAAATCTCGTGGTAGGCGTACCACCCGCTCCCATTTCATTAAAATTTCTTGGTAGGCGTACCACCCGCTCCCATTTCATTAAGTCAAATGAAATTTACTCCAACAAACGCAACAATTAATATGAATTCATAAGACAACAAGTACACAATAATTATGACTCATTGAGGAAAACAAGTAATGACAAGTAGCAATTAATTATGGACTTTAAGGAGCAAATAGGCAATTTAATATTTAGTATGCTAAATGTCAAGTAGCAATTAAGTCACATAAACATGTAGCAGTTATAGCATAAATTCAAGGCATAATGTTGTGCAAGTATACCTCGAGCCAATAATAACAAGTAACACAATAAAGGAAAATGCCAACATAAAGAATCACAGTAATAGTGGAATAAGACAATTAATGCACTTGAACCGATAACAACAAGAAAATCAGTAAATAGAAGTAAAGGACAACATAACTCAATTATCAGCAAAAATCAGGAAAATCAAAGACAAGTGCACGGCATCACCCTTCGTGCTTTTACTCTCGTCCTCACCAAGCAATAATATAATGAAAACGTGCACGGCATCACCCTTCGTGCTTTTACTCTCTTTCCTCACTAAAGCAATTAGAATAATAAAATGTACACGGCATCACCCTTCGTGCTTTTACTCTTTTCCTCACATATAATCAATAGAATTGGCACGGAATGGTACATCGTGCAGCACGACATCACCCTTCGTGCTTTACACTCTTTCCTCACAATAGCAAACAATGCACGGCATCACCCTTCGTGCTTTAACACTCTTCCTCACCCAAACAACAATCACAAACAAGGGCAAGGGAAATAAACAAGAACATATAGGAATCTCAGCAAGGTAACAACGATTTAACAATTAAATCCCGGCAAGGGAGCAACAAGTAAATAATTAAATCCTGACAAGGGAACAACAATTAAATAATTCAATCCCGGAAAGGGAACGTTTCAATAACTCTTTCTCTATCTTTCACTTGTACTTCATAACTCACTTTACCACTTGAACCAATGCTCCAAAGGTTCAATCATCTCGTATACTTTCACAATTCATAATATAACTCGAGCCAATGCTCCAAAATGTTCAAAGGTCTCAATTCCTTCCACAAACTTTTCACAACAACTAGAAATCATCACCAAAGCATGAAGAATACAACGAAACCATGAAAATCACAATATAAGACTCACAGTCATACTTGACACCAACGTATAGATACTCGTCACCATGCCTATACGTCGTACTCAACAATTATCACATAGCAAATAGGACTCAACTCCTAATCCCTCAAGCTAAGGTTAGACCAAACACTTACCTCGATGCCTTGAACACAACTCAAGTCTCAATTATAGCTTTACCCCTTGATTCCACCGCCAATTCTCTCGTATCTAATCACAAATTACTTAATTACATCAATAAACACTAAATGAATCAACCCCAATGCATGAAAATGAGTTTTCTAAAGTTTTACCCAAAAAGTCAAAAATTGCCCCCGAGCCCACGTGGTCAAAACCCGAGGTTCGAACCAAAACCCGATTACCCATTCCCCCACGAACTCAAATATATAATCTGTTTTGAAATCGGACCTCAAATTGAGGTCCAAATCCCCAATTTTTGAAAAACCTAGGTTCTACCCAAAACACCCAATTTCCCCCATGAAAATCTTTGATTTTTTGGTTGAAATCATGTAAAGAGATGTTAATGATTGAAAGAAATGAGTAAAAACTAACTTACAATTGATTTGGAAGAAGATTGTTCTTGGAAGAATCGCCCAAAGGAGTTGTGTTTTGAAAATGGTGTGAAAAATGACTTAAAATCAGTTAAGTATAGAAAATTGCAGGTCTCTGATATGGGAAATGCGAACCCCGACCCTCAGATGTGGGAATTGCGAAGTGAAGTTCGCATTTGCGAACACTGAACAAAATGAGGGGCTTCGCATTTGCGACCAAAAATGTCGCATTTGCGACAGACCCTGCTCCGCATTTGCGAACTGTTTGGTCGCATTTGCGATCAGCTGGACAGATTCCCTTTCTCGCATTTGCGAGCTCGCATTTGCGACACCTGCTTCGCAAATGCGAAAACTGCAGAACAGGAATACCAGATTTTTTTTCAAAGTTTAAAAATGCACCCGTGGCCTATCCTAAACTCACCCGAGCCCTCGGGGCTCCAAACCAAATATACACACAACCTCAAAAACATCCTACGGACTCATTCGTGCGATCAAATCGCCAAACTAACATCAAAAACATCGAATTAAACCTCAAAATCCAAGAATTCTTTCAAACTTCATAAAACATCAAATTTTCCAATTTAGGTCCGAATCACGTCAAACGACGTCCGTTTTCAACCAAATTTCACAGGAAGGACTTAAAACATATATAAGACCTGTATCGGGCGCCGAAACCAAAATACGGGCCCGATACCATCGCTTTCTAATCAGATTTCATTTCCAATTTCCTTAAACAATTTCAGAAAACAATTTTACTAAAAAAAGTCATTTCTCGGGCTTGGGACCTCGGAATTCGATTTCGGGCATACGCCCATGTCCCATATTTTCCTACGGACCCTTCGGGAACGTCAAATCACAGGTCCGGGTCCGTTTATCCAAACGTCGACCAAGGTCAAATTTATTCATTTTAACATCAAAACTTAGCATTTTTCACAGAATTTCATATTTAAACTTTCCGGCTACGCGCCCGGACTACGCATGCAAATCGAGGTGACTCTAAATGAGGTTTTCAAGGCCTCGGAGACACAGAATTCAATTAAAAACAGGTGATGACCCCTTTGGGTCGTTATATTCTCCACCTCTAAAACAACCGTTCGTCCTCGAACGGACAGAAGAAAGAAGTACCTGAGTCGGGGAAAAGATGAGGATAACGGCTTCGCATATCGGACTCGAACTCCCAGGTCGATGCCTCAGGAGGCTGACCTCTCCACTGGACACGAACAGAAGGGAAACTTTTTGACCTCAACTGACGAACCTGCCGGTCTAGAATAACTACCGGCTCCTTCTCATAAGACAAGTCCTTGTCCAACTAGACAGTGCTGAAATCTAACACATGGGCTGGATCGCCGTGATACCTCCGAAGCATGGACACATGAAACACTGGATGCACGACTGATAAGCTCGGCGGCAAAGCGAGTCTATAAGCCACCTCTCCCACTTGATCAAGAATCTCAAACGGACCAATGAAACTAGGGCTAAGCTTTCCCTTCTTCCCAAATCTCATCACGCCATTCATAGGCGACACTCGGAGCAATACCCGCTCACCAACCATAAAAGCCACATCTCGAACCTTGCGGTCTGCATAACTCTTTTGCCTGGACTGAGCTGTACGAAGCCTATCCTGAATGATCCTGACCTTGTCCAAGGCCTCCAGAACCAGATCTGTACCCAGCAACCGAGCCTCTCCCGGCTCAAACCACACAATTGGAGACCGACACCGCCTACCCTATAAATCCTCATAAGGAGCCATCTGGATACCCGATTGGTAGTTGTTGTCGTAGGCAAACTCCGCCAAAGGCAAAAACTAATCCCACGAACCTCCAAAGTCAATGACACAAGCTCGGAGCATATCCTTCAAAATCTGAATAGCCCGCTCAGACTGTCCGTCCGTCTGGGGATGAAATGCTGTGCTCAACCCAACTCGCGTACCCAACTCTCGCTGAACTGCTCTCCAGAAGCGCGAGGTAAACTGCGTGCCCCGGTCCGAAATGATAGATACGGGCACACCATGAAGACGAACAATCTCCCGAATGTAGATCTCAGCTAACCTCTCGGATGAATAAGAGACTGCCACAGGAATGAAATGCGCTGACTTCCTACTCAAAACATCGTCCACCACATTGGCCTTTCACGGATGATTTAAAATGGTGATATCATAATCCTTCAACAACTCCAACCACCTCCTCTGCCTCAAATTCAACTCCTTTTTCTTGAACGAATACTGAAGACTCTTGTGGTCCGAGAACACCTCACATGCCACACCATACAGATAATGCCTCCAAATCTTCAATGCGT